TTTTTTTTTTTTTCTAATCGGAGTTAATCTTGAAAAGAAGTTATAAATTATATGATAATTTTGTTAATGAGATTTGAAGTTATATTAAAATAATATTTAAAATAAAAATATTAAAGTTGATTCGAGATTTTGAAGTTATATTAAAATATTATTTAAAATTAAAAAATTAAAGTTAGATTGATGTGAAGTGATGGTTAGTTAAAAATAAGATAAAGATGATGTGAAGTGATAGTTAAAATTATGTGAGTGAATGTTTAGATTTGGTGTGAAGTGATTGTTAGTTAAAAATATAATAGAGATGATGTGAAGTGATCGTTAAAATTATGTGTGTGGATGGATAAATTTAAATTGATATGTGTAATAATGATTGTTTTGTATTATTTAATTAGATTAATAATATTGAAGATAGTGGAGTTGGGTTAAAAAATTGAGTTAAGATTTTGAATATTAATTGTGAATGGATCCATTTATAAACAAGCACACGTTTATTAATTGGGAATTACGAGATCTCATGTTTATTCATAAATAGAGGTGGAAATGAGTGCCTTGGTGAGTCCAAACAAACGAGCGGGTCAGTTAATTGATTCGCTCGTCAACTAAACGAGACCGTCAATCTGTTCGTTAACTAAATGAGATCGTTAATTAATCGATAGTTTAGTAACCAAGTTTAGTTATCGACCCAACTAAACAAGTTGAACGAGCTCTCATTAACTAAACAAAACCCAATTGAGCTATAACAAAAACCCACGAGCTATAACTAAAATCCAACTAAACAAGTTAACTAAACGAATCCCATTTGAGCTATAACTAAAACCCAACTAAACAAGTTAAACGAGCTCTCGTTAACTAAACGAGCTGATTATTGATACGTTAAAAAACGAGTTGAGTTAATTGATCCGCTCACTTAGTTAACGAGTTATAAGCCATGCTCGTTAGTAAACAAGTTGAATGAGCTCTCATTAACTAAACGAGTTGAGTTAACTAATCCGCTCACTTAGTTAACGAGCTCAATATTAAGAGTTATAAGCCATGCTAGTTTTTTTTTTTTTTCAAACGTTAATTATATTAATAACTTAAAAACTCAAAAGAGTAGAACCGAAGTGTCAAATGACACACTGGAACCAGAAGACTGGACCACCCCTTTGTCATCACACGCAAGGGGTACAACCTCCATCAAGGAGACAAACTAACACAAAGCAAAACTCTAAAAAAGCAGACAAGCTGCACTGAAAGCAGACAAAGCTGCACTAAAAGCAGACACAGCTTCACTAACAAACCAACAAAAACATAACGATAATAATAAAAATACACACCTAATGTACAAATAAACTAAAACCTCCCCTACACCTAACAGACTCGTAGCCTGACCACCGGGGACCACACACAATCCACATCCACTAGCAGAGAGATCCAACAGAGCCACAAACCGAAACCTCAAGCCCGAAAACTGCGGTCGTGCCGCCTAGACAGATCTAAATAAGAGATTGCTCTCGGTTCAGATCTGGACTCCGAAAATCATACTCGCTGGGGGAAGAGATGGAGCTCGCCACGCCGAAAAACATCCACGTTGGGGGACACCAACTCGACTCGCCGGAGTGCTCGAAAGAGGATCTAAAGGACGGCAAACTGCACCAAAATACCCAAAACATACACACCAAGACTCCCGACGGAAAGATAGTCGGTACCTCCTCGAAGCTTGGTCTGAACTCTTCCTGTCGTCGGTCTTGTCCATGGTCGGGGGAAGATAGGTGGTGAAGCAACTCGGACCCAGCAGGGGCGAGAGCTCTCCAACCCAATCTCCCCCGAAGTCCGGAGAAGACGGAAAATGACCTCAGCTCCGAATCGACGAGCACCAAGACCTGTGGCGCGGCGGCAAGCCTGAGGTGAATGAGGGGCGACGAAAGTAAAGATGGAGGGGACTGGTTTTTTTTTTCCTTATCGATTGAGAGGAGAAGAAGGGGGAAATAGATCTGAAAAATTAAGCCATGCTAGTTAGAGTAGCTCAATTATCAATACGAGCCATTCTCTATAAGCCATGCTCGTTAGCTTAGCTCAATTGTCAATATAAGCCATGTTAGCTAACGTAGACATAGCTTAGCTCAATTCTCCATATAAACCATGCTCGTTAACTAAACTAACCAGCTGATTGTCAATATTAGAGTTCAGCTTAAGCATGGCTCAATTGTCAATATTAGTCAAAATATTAGAGTTCAACTTAAGCATGACAAAATTGTCAATATTAACCAAAATATTAACGAGTTCAATTCAAGTCTGCCTCAATTGTGTTTGTCAGTACTAAAAGGCTCAATTGTGCTTGTCAATACGACTCAGTTGTGCTTGTCAATACTAAGAGGCTCAATTGTGTTTGCCAATACTAAGAGTTCAGCTCAAACAAGCATAACTCAATTGTCAATTTTACCGAGTTCAGTTTAAGCGTGGCTCAATAGTACGTGGCTCAATTTTCGTCAAGCTCAAGTGTTGCTCAATTGGCTCAATAAGCTCAAGTCGTGGCTCAATGTCAAATTGAGGCATGGCTCATTTCTTAATATTAACAAGTCGAACTTGAAAAATCTTGACTCGTGTCTTTAAAAACTAGTGTGGTACCCTTGCGATGCACGGACTAATTTTATTATGGTAAACATTTATATTTGGATGATTGGAAGAACGTAAAAATCATGTATTGGAATAAAACAAAATGTATCTTATATATTTTTAAACAAAAAACAACGTACCTCCGTTTAAACCATATCTAAGAAAATAAACATTTGACACCTATATATATTAGGATTCTAAATAAGGTTAAATAAATCATTTAAATTATTTAGCAAGATATATATGATATGATTTATACTGGTTTTATGAATATTGTATAGCTAAATATAACGGAGATTGTAAAACGTATTTCTTGATAATAAATAGCCTTATTATTTTAAAATTGTAAATTAGTGAAGTTAAGGAAAGAAAAAATTGTGTACGTGTATGCATTCAATTTCAAATTTCTATTCTATGGGATTAAACAAAACCAAAATTTTTAGGATGTTCCAATATGATTTCATTTTGAATTTAGAATTAATATTATTTAAATATGTTATATGTTTAAAAAAAATCCGAACTAAAGAAAGTAGTAGGCAAATGATATGAGATTTTTAAATTTTAATTATTAATTTGAAATTGGACCGATTTCTATGCAATCTGATTTTTTTTAATAAACATGATTTGTTGCAATTAGGTAAAGATACAACATATTTTGCCTAATTCAAAATTCTCGATTTTATGGTAAACAATTTTTTTTAATAAAACATGAGAAAATTTTAACTTTTACAAAATTGTCATGCCAAATTTTACCTAAACCCAATTTATATGCAATTCAATTTTTTTTAATAAACAATTGATCTGTTGCAATTAGGAAAATATATATGCAATAGTATTTTGTCTAATTCAAAATTCTCAATTTTATGGTAATCAGTTTTTTTATTAAAAAATGAGAAAGAATTTTGACTTTTGCAAAATTGTAAGTATCAATCGAAATTTACTTAAATCAAATCCACAAAACCCATAAATTAAGGTTGCAAATATAGCTACTCAATTTTTTGGGAATAATTCAAAAAAAAAAATTAAAAATCTACCAAAAATAGAATGTAATATATACTGGTTAACTTTTATTCTTACTATTTTTAGTAAATAAGTTATCTCTTTATATATGTATAGATAGATAGATTACATTAAAAAAAATATTTCGAGCCTTATTGATAACGGGTCAAGCTTGTATCTTACAAAACCTCATGTCTGACAAAAAATACATAAGAAAAAATAATAATAAAAAAAAAGGCAACTTTAATGAGTCCAAAGTTACATAAAAAACATTCTGAGCCTTAATAAACAACATAAAAGATTAATAATTAATTTTCGGGCTATAATGAGTCGAGCTACAAAACGAGCTCGACTTTGATTCGTTTGATAAACGAGGGCAGGTAGCTACTCAGACATATCACATAATGCCAGTAACAGACCTACTTAAAGAGTTTAGAACATTCATTCACTAGTTCAATCCAGTAAATAAAGAGAATGAACGGAAGGCAAAATATGTCCCGGATCATAAAATGTCCAAAACCATAGCATGTTCATGATTCGAAAGCTTCACTTTTCTTCGAGAGTGCAATCACATTGAAGTTGATTGAATCAGGATTTTTCTGGATGATCTTTTGAATGACTTTAGCAGCATCCTGTCACCAAATAAATCAACATCAACATCAACATACCCAGTATATTCCCAACAAGTTGGAGTCGGAGGGGTCAGTTGTACGGGACCTTACCCTTGTAATTATACAAGGAGACTATTTCCATAGCGACCCAAGGTGCGTTGCGTCGTTTGATATATTTTTTTCTAAAAACTTCACTAATAGAAGAAGCACTAGAATTTAATTGAGCCATTTTGATCTAGTCCATTATTAGCACTATGCCAGGAGAATTGTCAACAATGACTCTTCCAGCTCCATATGCAATGGACATATCAGGCAAGAAGCAAAAATGGGATATGACTTCTTCCAAAATAATGTAGCAATTCGCGCAATTTTGTCCCAAAATCATTTTCCAATTCATGCTTCATCTCTGTTGTATGAACAACTCGTGTGTAACAAAATCATGTTATAATTCACGTTTCAATCTCCATTTCAAATGAATAACATATGTCCATAAGGATAACACGATTACACGATCATACATGTGCCGTTGGTAGAGATTCGAGAGAAAAATAATCACCTGTAATAAAGTGCCTGGAGTAGATGCACCGTGAGAGATTGGTCCAGCCCTCCTCCCATCGAGCTCATACAGTTGCCCTGCAAAATCCCATGCCAAGGAGCATATATATTATACTGCTACTAATCTGCTCTTGTACATTTAAACCAATAATAATACGGCAATCATATACATCAAAAGGAAGTTTTGAATGATTACTCGTTTTCGCAACAAGTGATAATGATATGAACTAAATGCGGTAGATAAAAACAGCGAATCCTATATATTGTTAACCGCAATATAATTGACGAAATGGAAATTTTGTTTCGAATTTCAAATCCATGAGAGAGAGGGAGAGGACTCACCATTAACACATGAAAAGCAGATAAAATGAGTGTTCACATCATCTGATGCCTGTCAGACACAAGGGATCACAAAAATTAGCTACTTCAGAACAGTAAAAATATAGTAAGAAGAATAATAACCGTTACAATTATAGGCTATAATGATGCAGCACTTCAGATCATATTTTCCAAACTGAACTACTACAAAATTCGACAGTGCTGGAATGATTGCAAATAAAGGAAATGATGAAGTTACAAAATTAAGCTGAAAATGTCCGAGTGGAAAATCTAACTACTTTCAGACTACTATCAAACTAAATGTGTGTGTGTGTGTGTGTGTGTCTATATATATAAATATATATTCAAATGTCCATATCTGACCTCTGTATCACCAGCCGTAGCTGCAACTGAGTGAGCAACTTCCATTTCTCTATCATTTTCAAGAAATGCAGCACGCTGCAAAATAATTTCATCTACAAATTGTTACATTCAAACAAGGGCAAAGATACAGATATCAAGTCACCAATTCTTAATTCGAATAAATAAATAAAACGGTGAAAAGAATATCAGACCTCAGATGGATTCATATTTGCAGTGGATTTGAAAAAGTTATCCAAATAAGAACCCTCAACTGAAAGAAAACAAAAATTGAGAAAGATGATACAACCCAAACACGATAATTCAAATATACATTGAATAAACTGAGAACGTGCAAGAACAAGAAGATGAATCATGATTTTTCCAAAAGGAATCATGTATTCTTTCAACCTTAATAGTGATCGGATTATTAGCTGGATTTTTTCAACATTATCCCTCAATATTATAGTCTATATATAGTGTGAACTTTCCTTTATTACATTGTCTAGTTCAATAAAAAAACAAAAACGTTCATTTATTACATTGTCTAGTTCAATCAGAAAACCAACTAATAAACAAAATGCAAACACAAACAGGTGAAGGTATTGTAATTTTTCCTCGATGGTTTTATCCATCACTTATACCACAATAAGTTAAACGGGAGCTGGAATTATCAGCACAAGTGCCTTCAAGATTGTAAACAGAAATTTCATTATTACATCCTCTAGTTAATCCTAAACATCAATTGATAAACTTGAAGAATAAAGGACTATGTGAATGAAATATACATCATAATTTTTTCAAGAGATGAACATTTTTCATACATTGACATGGGTAAAAATTGTCAGCGAATTTTCAATATTACGTATCATAAGTAGTGATGAGTATATATTACATTTTCCAGATCAAGTAGAAATTCTAATTAGCTATTGATGGTTTGGGTGCATGGAGGAATAAGAGAGTGAAAAGAAATTCCCCGAGAAGACTATGCATTTAATCTCCCCAAAAAGGGTTGATTTATTAGCAAAACTAACATCATTTCCCCCTGGCTCAACATCATGAAAAACGAACAAGGATTTCTCTGTATCAATTTCTCTAGTTCCATCCCAAGTATAAATTATATTCCCCCAAAGTGCACTAATTGAACTACTGAAAAATGAAAGAAAAACGATAAACATGAAAAAGAAGCAGAAGAGTTAAAAAAACACAGGTTAAGAGCTTCCGAAGTTCATCCATATCACAAGAATTCTCGCCCATTATGGAGACATTATGATGTAGGGAAAAACGTGAACGAAAAAGAAAAGATACAATACGAGATACTCTCTCGAACTTGGGATACTCTCCCAAAAGAACACGATCAATTTTTTATTCTCAAAATTCAACTCCTCACCAAAACAGAAGAGCCCTTTAAATAAAGGCTTCAAACTCAACCCTAGCTTAATATCCAAGCAACTAATAATAATAATAATAATAATAATAATAATAATAATAATAATAATAATAATAATAATAATAATAATAATAATAATCCTTGTATCTTCCCGTTCGTTCACGCTTCCGCTACATCACATTATAATGTAACTAGCAAATTATAAGTCAAAAGAAATGAAATCATAACAAAAAGAAAACAAAATATAAAGTTCACCGAGTTTTATCCTGGAAGTGATATTTCCAACAGCATGAAGAAGACCGATTGTTCCACAGGCATTTCCAACAGTTTGCTTCATAAAATAAACCCCACTGCTTGGCTCCTGTATGCAAAAAACATGAGCATCAATCATAAATTCATATTGTAGACAGAAGTAAAAGAGCTACTCACTAAGAAGTTAAAAGAGTCAACAAAATAAACAACTAACGAAGTGTACAACAACAACAACAACAAAGCCTTTTATTCCCAAACAAGTTGGGGTAGGCTAGAGATGAAACCCAATAGAAACAGTAGTTAAAAAAAAAAAAAAAAAAAA